TTGTGTAATCTAAAGCTGTTTTACCAGGTAGCTGCTGAACCCTATGTATTGGACTGTAATTCCGTCAACATCTTGCAGAACCAATTCAGAATGCCTCCATATCTCTGCCCAATCAGTTTAAGACTAATGAAATTTAACAACTCTCAACCATACCTTATTTTTCCTGTGCCATAATGTGAGATTATGATTCATCCATGTGGTGCACGGCAAGGATGGGGTAACCAAAATAGTTTTGTTTTCTTGCTTAAGTGTGCGGCTTTAAGTGTGAAGGTGTTAATTTTTCCCTTGCTTTCGATTGCTTGCCAATCGGCTAATTGTTAACCCCTTCTGAATTTTGTCAAATTCGTCTGCTTCCCTAAGAACATGGTGCCGAGCATATGCTAAAATCCTTTACCGTGTGTCATTTTTTGTGTTGGTGTGCTGCATGTTTGTGCTTGCGCTTGTTTCTATGGCTTTCATTGTAATGCAGTGCAACCCGCGTGTATTTGTTAGTGTGCCGCACAGACCCTCTATGGTCTGGGAAAATTGTGTTCTCTGTTTGGTCCGAATGCAATTCCATTATTTGTGGGTTGTGTTTTTCTCATCATCTTTTAGACAAGGACCGGCAACAAGCCCAGGCACACCAGGCGCAGCAACAGCAGCAACAACAGCAACAGCAGCAACTGCTTCTACAACATCAATCGTTGTTGAGTAACCCAGCTGCTGCAGCTGCAGCTGCGGCCCAACTACTCCACACATCATCTTCGGCTCAAACAACATCTCAGCTGCTGGCGCGTCTACAGGCCTCTCCAATCGGTATTTCTTCGTTGAATGCGGCTGCGTTACAGCTCAATCCGGGCATCGCTGCTGGTATAACCGGTTCTACAGCAGCCTTACAGGCTGCGGCGGCAGCTGCCGCGGCAGCAGCAGCCGGTGGGTCCGGTGCTGCCCTGCCATTTAGCACAATGACAAGCCTAGCTTCCTATTTATCTAGTCCAGGGCTCACTGCATCTCCCATACAAGCTGCTAGTGCGAGTAACTTAGGGACCGCCACGGGTGGCAGCGCTATCGGCTTGCCACTGTCTCAGCTACCTTGTACAACGGCCACTGGATTAGGGTTTTCAACTTTGCCATTCTCTGTCAACCCTGGCCTACCAACTTCGGGTAAGTTGAAAGTTTTACTAGAGTTTTGATTGTAATAACACGTACTGAATGCAGCTTTCCGATCAACTTTGTTGCGCATCAGCTGCTTAGTTAATCGTTAGGTGTGGTGGGGGCTTACTTCACAGCAGCGTTAATGCACCGTCCACATCTTGATTAAACGGCTCTCCCCAGGATCACCTGGTGGCTTTTTATGGAAAAGTTCTATCCGTCAAACCCGAACTTTGCAAAATTTCCGCGTAATTTGTACCTGGTGCCCTTGTGTTACATCTGTATGCAGCGCTTTTGATGAATCGTAGTCTCCGCACACCGTCTTTAAAGAATTTTGATTCAGTCATCAATATAGCCCATTCCATCAAATCCTGTTTCATTGAGGCCGGGAATCCTCACCGGCATACGTATGCTTGATTACTTGCTGAACAGAGCGGATTCGAAGGGAGAGTGCTTTCATCCTGGTGAACAAAAAAGACTAGTCGTGGTACAGTCATAGTTGTTGAGTTGCTTGCATCATCCGTTCGTCGGTACATCGAGATAATTATTACTGTGATCAGATGTAGAGAGATGGTTTCCAAAATCACTTGCGGCGGCAATGTATCCATCCGTTCAAAACATAGACGAGCATCATTATATGTCAATAGTGCACATACGCGATGCCGTCAAAGCGTATAGTAGTAGGTAGTCATTCGGACCGAGAACGTTACGGTAAAATAGCTATCAGGAGAATGAGTTGAATGCGTAACTCCGAGTGACATCTCTCTTTAGTCGGAAAACCCATGAGTTTTTTGGAAATAGAAAACAACTGTGCAGTTCTTCTTTGATTTCAAGCAAATGTCTTTTCTCACAGGTTAAAACCTCCACTGAAAACTTTAGTTTACATCAGTACCTACCAGCTCATGGCAATCTTCAAAGAGTGTACACCAAGGAATTCTTCATTTCAGAGGCCATCTGTTGGCTCCTGATTCTCTGTTAATAACTCTTACGAACTTGCATCTTCTTTCCAACACTAAAGATCCAGAACCGTGGATTGTGCACGGCGTTGCAATTTTTTTCATTTTGTTTACCGTTTTGTGAAATTAGGTACTTCCATTGCTAGGTAAAAGAAAAAACTACGGTTTCTATGTACTTTCTCAATAAGGCTGCTTAGTTTTGTTCGATTTTGTCACATTTCGTCTAACATTTTCCCAACAGAAATGTTAAAAAACACGTGCATGAGAATCTTTCAAAATTAGGGGCAGAACGTGCTGGAAATCCGACGCTTATGGCATGGAGACTTCGATTGTGACGTATGTTTTAGAATAGCTGCAGGCTTGTCTAAAAGGAAACTGTGGGTCTAGTAACTGAATCCCAACGGCCCAGGCAATATATGACAATCTGAGTCTAACCGTTCTTGGTCGATTTACCGATGCTTGGTTGGCAGCAGTTAAGCACCATCATTTACCACTAGCACCTTTCCGTCAATGTTGATGATGATGGTGGAACTAATGGTGATTTTGTTTAGTCCTGTAAAGAATTGTGATTCTTCAACCATTTCATCCATCGGCCCTTCAGGAGCGGAATTTTACTGCAGTTTTTTCTCAACGACTTCCATCCATTTGAAAATCATACACTTTCCGGTTTCTCAGATGAATAAGTTACTACCCGAAAGAAAGCAACTGACATGCCCTCATGCTTATCGACCATCATGTTGACGAGTTGGTGCTGCGGGTACTGCTAATTCGGTATCCTGCTACATTAGTGTTTTCAAGATTGAGTTCTTCTGGTTTGTATGCAAGCGTTGGATAGCATCAGCTATCTTGGGAACAACGTCTTTTGCCGAGAAAATATAATGCACTATCTCAGATATCCGTCAGCGAAAGAGTGGGGTTGCCTTTGTGCAGCACAGTCAGTTGCACTATATTATAAACCAGGGACTTACCTGAGTGCATTTCCTCAGTCGATCACCTGATTTATCACATGTTTATTAGTGAAAATGTCGCACTTGTTCAGCCCGGAGGTTACTTCATCTCAACTGACCATTCTTATAGCCGTAGTACTAACCATGGTCATGTCACTTCACCCATCCAGTTCACGACCATTTCTTAGGTTCGCACGGTACTTCATCGTACGTGCGAAGGTATTGCGCAACAGTTCAGCGTAGGTCATGCTCCATATTTTAGACTGTTATGTAAATATGATTGGTCCCAAGCCTATCCTAGGCTGATGGAGAGTCGTACGTCTGAATGACACAAAAAATCCCTAATCTCAGCTTCGTCGCCTTACGGTGGCTCGTGAAACACTGACTCAAGACCAGCAAGCGAGATTCAGGTCTGATAGGAATTTGCGTTGACCAAGTCTTCAAACTTCGTCATAAGCTAGAACAACACCACACGTATAAGCTACCTACAATTCTAGTATTTCCGGATTTCCTAGGCGCATTCGACTCGGTTGATCGGTTTGTTCCTCTTGACACGCTTATCCATCAAGGAATGCCCCGGAAGTTTGTAAACATAATACGTTCTTTGTATTTCCAGACTTCCGGACCTGTGAGAGTATACGGAGAGCTTTCCAAAAGCCTCCGTACACAAAGTGTTGTCTTTCAGCGGTTCCCCCTCTTTCCGTTCCTATTTAGTTTCGTGGTTGAAAAGATAATGGGACAGACGCTGGGAGGTTTACAAAAAGACCCCGGTGTTCGACGTAAATCTTATCGATCTGGAATATGAAGATATCGTTCTCGTCTTCTTAAAAAGGAAGGCACAGGTGTCCCTGGATGAACTGATTAAAGTCCTTTGGTGTGCACTTTGCACTCACAAAGCTTAAGGTCATGCTTACGAACCCTCCACTTATAATCCAGGGAAGGGTATTGGGAGTTATGGAGCGTTTCACATATCTTGAGAGTTGTGTCAGTTCTACTGTAGTGTGACAAACGAGGTCAATGCATGAACTTGCAACTCTGGGTTCGGGAGTGTTTTTAGTAGGCCATCATTTTAGTTTCAGTTCAGTCTCAATCTTCACAATAAGGTTTTTAAATAAATCCTGGTTATACGTCAGCGAAGCATCAGTGTTGATCACTGATATCGTGCTGTCCATGATGATGATGGTGAACCACATGTTTTACGGACTGAACACGCCAGGATTTGTATTTTTATATGATGGCTTCACAATCGATCTAAAACACTGGTCGATGTTCCAGGGTGTCCTAACCTCTGGTGTTTTTCTTAACTGCTCCTGTGAAGCTTCACTTTTCATTTCATTATTCTGCTTCCTGACAAAAACTGACCACTGTTTTTCTGATCTGGTACGCTTATGGTTCTCAGGTCTTCTAACCTTATGCCCTTTGTTCAGTAATGAACCCGAGCCATTCCGTTTTTCGTTGTTATCCAACTCACTGAAAATAATGTTGGCGCTTTTTTCTTATAGATATGTAGGACTAGCTACTATAGTAGAGCTTACCAGACCGACTGGTCACGGGGTCGAAAGTGACGCAGGGGCGACCAGTAAGATGTTAATGATGGTCAGAGTATGGATAAGGCTGATATCGTGTACGAACTCATAATTAAGTTCCAGGTTTGATCTACTAACACGTGACATACATTTCCTTCCGAGTCTTGAAATATCCTTTCGCACTTAAGGTTCAAGATAATAATACACGAAACAGCATAAATCGCGGTTTACTGAGTGACTGCGTTGATTGGTTTCTTTGTACTTGTATTGTGTTCCACTGGGCTAATACTTACTTTCGTAACCTATTTAGGAATCCAGGTTGAACATACTGCCACAGTATTTGTTTTCGAATGAAATGAAAACTGGCCCAAACAATCCACCTTTGCTTAGAGAAGTTTCCCAAACCGTACAAGTTGCTAATGTCAGCTGTCATGCCGTTTGCTATTGGCAGACTGGGTCAGTGACATATCGATCGGGCTAATGGTTTTATGTAAAGAATTGCCGGTAACACGTGCGCCTTATTTCTTCAGTGGCAGTCAATTAATCAGGACATTGATGGGGTCTTCAAAGGTCAGAAGAAGCTTATTTGGTGCATGCAGCCAAACCAGTGATTTTTCTGTCAGCATTTTTACCACCATGCACTATCAGGCTATAGGTTGATTTTCGCTATATCACCTCTAAAACTGGTTTACTGTTTGTTTGTTTGATTGAGACTTGACCCAGTCATTTATTTGTGCCACTTTCCAAGGCTCTACAAATCTAATAAACTGTACCCCTGGATCAGCACAGGATCAATACACTGCCCTAGCGGCCGCCCTCCTGTCGGGTGGCACAAACAACACTTCAAACAACAACACGGCAGCTGCACAAATGTCAAATGGGAAAGTTCCTGTATCTGCTGGTTCGTCCAAGCCCTCTACTTCATACTATCCGATGACCAGTTTGGCCTCCTCTTTGGTTGACCCAGTAACCATCATCGAGTATAATTCAGCTAACTCTGTAGCTGCAGCCCAGGAAATGGCATCTGGTAAGCCAGGACAATAGAGTCTCTTTATTAAAATATTGTTAGGTTTTGCACAAAACATAACAAGAGTGCAGGTGGATGTTGCTTGCCGTTAGCTGATATTCCTCCATGTGCAGCCATCGGTATTAGGACTTTGAAGGTTATTTTCCACAGACTGTCGACTAAAATCATTTCGGCGTTACATTGTACACCGCTAATCGAGCGGAGAGGGGCAAGCCATATTTGAAGTCCACAAACATGCTCTACTTATTTATTAACTCAAAACTCCTAACGAAGACAGTTTTTGATCACCTTGGACTCAGAATCCATCGACCCATGTTTTGGACTGGTAATTTCTTGGGGCTGCAATGGTGCTCCGCTCAAAGATAAGCCTTTGCCCACCAGATATTTTCATTTAAGCACCATTCAGGCGACTCTTCGTCTGTCCAAAACCGTCGTGAGGGTAGGTGAGAAGCATCTACGACATCACATGCGTAACATTTTCCATAGGGGAATCTTTTTCCCATCATTCACACATTTATTCGCTATCGTGTAAGCTTAGTTTACTTCGAGGAAGCTACACATGTTCCTGGTGTGTCAGACTGTCTTCGGATATATCGAGGATGCAGCCTGCTGTCCTGTGCATTGACCCGCGTTATTTTTAATCGGGTGTATCGTACTAGCGAGCGCCTCGAATCAGTATACGGTACAATATATTTTTGGCAGTTGGTTTCATGTTCATCTCTTTTGCTGCAGATCAAAGTAGTGGATAGCCTCCATCAGACATTTCAATACACACTGGGCCGAAATAAAAGAAATAGATCCGGTTAAGTTAGGTTGTCAAAATACTCATTTAGGGGTCACGAATGAAAGACGAGTGATAGACTGATACAATTCGTTTCATTGCGCACTATGCTTTTTCTTATAATGAGAGAATAATTCAATAAGGATACGACAGACTATATTTGAAGTATGAAGTTACACGGTATATTCATCAGAGCGGTTGCTAATAAACCACTTAGTTTCAAGAGAATGGCACCGTTTCCAAACGCAGAACTGTGGTCTGCGGCCCAGGTTAACTCCAGCGTACCAACTGGGTGTACGATGCGATAACATTATTGTTGTAACCAACTCACACCGTAGGCATAATGCACCCAAGTCCAGATAAACCATGAGATAAGACCGTGCGGTCCCTCTCGGAGATCATTCTAGCTGTATTATCCTATAATCTCAGATAATTTCTGTCAACAGGTACCCAACAGTTTTCCGCATAGCTGCCTCACTGTACATTCGAAGTCCACCAAATGCTTTCAACCGTTTAATGCAATCGCAATGGCACATCTAACCATGACCGCCGATTTTCCATGGAGGAAAATATTGGTAGCTCAGGTAGCGTAGATGGTGGTCGTTGGCTTGTTCGTTGAGCTGGGCAATTTGATTAGAAACGTTTCATCACCAATCGCGCTTGTGCCACAACCACCAACCCACCGCTACGCACTACTACGCTCCCAATAACGCACGCCGATTTTCCATGGAGGAAAATATTGGTAGCTCAGGTAGCGTAGATGGTGGTCGTTGGCTTGTTCGTTGAGCTGGGCAATTTGATTAGAAACGTTTCATCACCAATCGCGCTTGTGCCACAACCACCAACCCACCGCTACGCACTACTACGCTCCACAATAACGCACTGATGATGTCACCTCGGTTGGTGATGAAACGTTTGCAACCAAATTGCCCAGCTCAGCGAACAAGCCAACGACCACCATGACCGCCGATCTTTTTTGCTCATCAGCAAGCGGTTGGCGCACCAGACTAAACGGCTTTCAGAATTTGATACGTTTACTTCCACATCTTATTCCACGCTTCATTCCAAAGTTTCCAGTATGACAAAAATCCCCCATCGTGAAGGCTCTTTGCTGTGGGGGACATCGGGACCAGTGCGCACTCACTGGATGGTAATCCTAATTAGCCAGACCATTGGAACCGATTTTTAAGCGAACAAAATAATGCCACAGATCTGAAAGTAAATGTGGTAAAAATTAGCTCAGAGATTACCCCCACTAACCCATCAGGTGGAAATTCACTCAACGAATGAAGGTCTGAGGACTATTGTCACGTTTTTGAAACTAACCTTATTTGTGACCTCCCATCATGTGTCTATTTCGTTCGCTACAGATTCCTTAAAACTACGATCAATTTCATCTGGTCAGAACCGAATGCATCCATATCTACGGTAGATTATCTTGGTAAGCCTTTCAAATTTTCAAATGCACGACATACGTTGCACTCCTAGTCGTCGTAGTGTTTAACATGAACTTGTCATTTCTATTTACTTTTCAGATATCATTCGCCTATGATGATGCGATACTGTCTGCTTGCTACAACATATCTACTCAGTGATTCTGCCCATTTTTCTAGGCTTTTTTGCTCCACTGAACCCGTTACATGCAATACTCACTCCGTCTCCAGCGCTGTGAATACATTCTACAGTGATACGTGCATAACGTCTTCCCGAATCTTATGACTTTCAAGTGTCCTTTTCTTTAAACATTTTACTGTCCTTCAAGGCGCCTGTCATTTGTATCTTGAATCAGTATTAACATTCTTTTAAGTTGTGACCCGCGGAGGTATGCAGGTTTTCAGTGTACCATGACAAGACCATCCCTTATTCTTTTTTACCCCTCTCGCTTTTCCTTCTATTGTTCTCATAACTGCTGTACATATCTTTATTAAAGCAGTCAAATCCTCACCTGATATTTACCGCTGACATGACGACTGTTTTGTTCACAAATCCACTGCTGTTTCTTGTTTTTCTACTTTATTTTTTATACAAGGAAACCGTGATACTTTCTACTTTCCGAACCGTTTTCTCATGACGAGGCCCGCTCAAATGACACTGTGAAATGTCATACTTTGTCCTTTTGACATAAATGATTTTCCAAGGGTGTTGTCCACTGTGAGCCGACTCAAGCACTCACTTCCATGACTACTCGATACGTTCCTCAATAAACAGTCTATTTACTCTTTTCCACGCTGCTTTGTAACACTGGACAAGTATCTTTCTTACCGCAGTGTTTCTCTATTAATCGGTTAATGGTCCAGAAAGCAAATTCTATCGTGTTTTGAATTTCCGATAGTTGCAACTGAGGAGCGGCGGCCATGCGTTGTAAGCTTTTCTGCTACGTTAAACCACTTTTTAGCGATTGTAATAGGATTTTCGACCCGTAAATCTGCGTTCATTTATTAGATGTCGGCATATATCTATGGGTTGATGATGAGGTGTGCTTTCCTTCTTACTTTCTTCCACCACATTACTTGTTTGTTGAATGGTATGGAGTTTCGGAGCCAAACATCTATGTTGCTCTCGTTGATGGCACGGAGACGAGGAGTCCTTTGCTCATCTGGAAGAATCAACTCACTTATTAGAGACCAACTTTGGCGCGTAGCTTCTGACTGTGTTACCAGAAGAGTTAACGTGGTCACTAGTCCCAAAATCACTAGAATACATCCTAAGGTCCAAATTGGGCGCTCGAATAAGTAAATTCAAGCTGCATAAGCTTACAACGTCTGAACCGTTTTGATCGCTAAAAAGAACAAGCAGTCAGACCAAGGTTTTCTTAACTGCGTTGGCTATAAAATGAAGCCACCTGGATGCTATGGATGATATATGATGCTGAACGCATTTCGAAGGCTTTTCTATTTGCCTTCGTGTGTTGCCGTTGAGGCTAGTTCTTCCTATCGGTTTAGTCTTCTCGGTTGGGATCGGTAGTTCTCTAGCCCAGAAACACTGGTTTCACCTTGGAGAAAGTTTATAAGGAAATCCATACCGTTAGTCGGAGATGTTTACTTAGATATTTTTGTCTAATGTTTTGATCAGCATTCGTATACTTATATGAAACAGGTGCCAACCGACAGTTCTCTATCATTTGCACCACGGTCGTCGAGCTACAACGGAATCTGTATTTTGTTCTCCACCCATCGGACTACTTGATGTTTCCTTCAACTCTGCTGATTTACACTTAAACAACCGAATTTTCATTCACGAGAGGTATGATTCTGGATTGGGGGTCAGTTTAACTGACCAAGACCTGTAGAAATTGTGAGCTGTCCTTGTCGAACCATATTTTAAACGATGAACAAACCCGTCACTCCTAGCAATTCACTAACGACATGCTTACACAGGACACTCAATTTACAATTTCAGAGGTGCTGTGCTTTCCATGGACATAAGTAAATAGGTATTGTGGTTACTGTTTGAGCTTTTCTATGGGCTGACTCGGTCGACTATACAGGCGTCTTTCTGTGGGCGATTCTAGAGGTTTGATGGTAACAAACAAACGAACAGCTATAAATAATCAGTGGAATAACATTTCAGTGAATCTTTTTCGTTCTGACTGCAAGAAACTCCGATTATTACATGACCTTTGTCATTTTTTGGTTCCTGACATGTTTGTTACACGTGAAGAACGCTCAGAACAAATGTCTTCTATAGTCTTTTCCCACCTGATAAGGATTTACAACGATCGCTAGTTGCACAAAACGCTCGTCCTGCGGAAATTCTACTTGCAGCTACAGGCAGCCAGCAACTGTCATGGGAGGTTGGATAAATTTAGATGGAAGTTCTGTTGTGTAGCCTGGAATCGTATTACTAGTGTGAATCCTTTTGAAGTTGGAGCAATCATTGGCTTCTTCACAAGACCCTTTGGTTGAGCTGGAGGTGGCTCAGTGGTTGGGGTGCGAACTCAATGAACAGACGGTCTGTGGTTCCAACCCGAACCTGGGTAACTCGATTGCCCCTGTTTAGTTTTGTGCGGTCACCGTGCTTCACTCAGATAGCACGGCAGCTAAGTGCTGAGAGTGTTACAGCTGGAAGACTATTTTTTCCACTTTCTACAGTTCAAGTGTCCACTACGGATTTTCAGGAAGTTTGCTCACGTGGACTCATTTCCACCCGATAGGCTGATCTCATGGCTCTATAGAGTGCCAGTGGACACTTTTTCGTGCTACATACAGAATAATCACTTCTGGGGAAGATCGGTAAAAATAAAATTTTGACCTGTTTATAAAAATTACAATACTTTTTCTGGTATGCCTGCGCATGGAGTTATCGCTTACATCTCTGGTGCGCACGTTCAGTAACAATCCTTATTCAGCCACAAAGGAATTTTGCAACGGGAACAGAACTTTACTTGCCACCCGCGTATGAATCTGTGTCGTAACATTTGCTTAGATCCAACGTATAAGCCTGGAAGTGCTCAAAAACAGTCCGAATCTAGTAAGTGTATAGTTAACGGTTTAGACCAATATATCTCCAAGCATTCGGGGTGGATAATACCCGGTCACTCGTGTGAATCTTGAAACTACTGTCCGGTTAGACCAGGTGAAATTTGATTCCGCCGCTACACACTGTAGCACCCTGATTCGGCTAAAAGTTAGAAAAGGATTCAGTAACCGCTGAGATGAGAAGTACAAAACGAAAAGTGCGAAAAATGTGATGACCCCAAAATTCACCAGCGGATTTCTTGGAGCTGTTATCTTGCGTCCATTGATAGACTGTCGAAGGCAGTCTTCCCTAGGTCTCTGAATATGATACGATTACTTGAGCTGGCTACACGTGTTTTACAAGTCAAAGTCCATGGGTCAGTTGCCGGTGGTCTTGGGGACTGAAAAATCCAGTTTGAGCGGAAAAGCGTCACAGGTTTTTTATTTTGGGTACAAGGATGTGTTCCAGTGAACGGTTCATTGCCTTTTGGGCCCACCTGAGAACAGCTGGTCTTTTTACGTCGCATTCAACAAAATTATTTTCTTATCCCAACAGCCCAGTGGCAATGAACAAGACTTTTCTATAATAATGTTAGCATGTTCAACCGTCGCAGTATGAGAAGCTGTCATAAACTGGTTGATAACTTCCGTCATCCTATGAGTGCACTGCAAAGTTGCGCGTAATTATTTTAAAGTTGTTAACCTCTATGTTGTGCTTGAATCCTGGATTCCTGGGCGTTGCCGAACACTGAATACGTAGCAGCCTCTGTGTTTGGTGCAGCGTGTCTTTATTTAGATCCTGCGATGCACAATGTGAGTTGTATTATTATTCTAAAACCAGGACCTTCCGAAGATTCAATACAATGCGACATATCAATCCCGTAAATTTTGTGTGCTGGGGCCATCAATTAGCAGTTGTGCCCAAAGTCATGTGAGCAAAACTTAGCTAGTGCAGATGTCTAGAATCCTTTGAATGAGGTGAAAGAGAAATCTCACTCCCGAATACATGTTATCTTGAAGATAAGGGAAATGCCTCTTTATATCTCATTGAAGTAAACCCCTAAGCATGCAACCACGTAACTTATGATTCAGAAGTCTTATCCACTGCACTGCGTTGTGGCGCATATGATAAAACAAAGGGAAGAAAGCTGACGTTGCGTGTCAGATTTTGACTGTTGTTTAAACTCTTGATGTCAAGCCGACACTAACACGGATATTGAATCGGCTCTGGTGGAAGGGGCGGAGTGGAGTAACCTGGTTATTCAATGGGCACGATGGTGCCGCTGTTCAACCTTTAGCCACAGGTATCCTGCCTTATTTCAGGTCGTACCGCGTGCTGCGAAGGCCGAGAGCGGCCCTAGGGCAATGAATATTCCTGTTTTATGGGTATGTTTTTTTGAGCCAGTGGATTCAGATTATCTCCTCGCAACGGAAAATCTGTTTTTTACCCGGCTAACCGAGTGGTGTTATAATGCTTGAACAGATATAAAAAGACTATCCATAGGAGACGAAGACAGTCTGTAGGAAGAACAACTTAGGCCGGTCGGTCCTGTATATGCCAACAAACCTTCCGCAGGTCGTCTGACAGCGAAGGTTATCACCATTCTGTAACGTTAAGGGACAGCACTTAGTCTGCTCTGGACGATCCTTGTTGGACGACTTGAGTGCAGTCTTCTTTCTACACTATTGACTACCTAATCTGCTTTTGTGCATCAATCATGACTATGAATCGAAACTTTACTGAAGGCAATAGTTCACACCATGTGTTTTGCAAAAGGAATGTCTTGGGCGTCCAACAGGTTAACAAATTTGTTTGAAGGGATTCTTCGGCCAGCTGTAAGGTCAGTCGGTAGGGAATAAAACCAGAGGCATACAGGTGCGGATACTTGATCCACTCTTTTGGCTACAGCTTCTGACATCATATTTCAGAATGCAGCTCTATCTACCTAAGAAGGATGAGAAAGGCTTAGGAGTGTCTACATTTTCGCTACGTATAGGTGCACCAAAACAATTAGTACTAAGTCAGTGAAGTGCGTATCAAGAATCATAACACTGCCCATACATATCGTTTGTTTGCACGAGAAACTAGCACCAAAATCATTTATGCGATTTTCTAATAAAGTCACAGTTGTGAGGCTGTTGAAACTGATTGCTTGAAATAAAAAATATCAGAAAGACTTGTCAGTAAAAATACCGTAAACATGCCTGTAACTCGGCAAACATTTTTCAGTGGTATTTGTTCCCAACATTGCTGAATCTTCCATCCTCCATTGCAATAAGTGTTTCTGGTGCATTGAGACTGACATGTTATCCTCAACCTGACGGAGTCCCAATTTAATTCATCGATATCCCTCGAGAGTAGTCTGGTAAATGTTCCTTGCTAATCTATGGTTACCTAGAGTCGTGTATGCGTACTGCACTAATGACTTTACTGCCTCTAACGTTGTGTTTGTACCAGTTCAACGATTCCGCTACCTCGTTCCATCGAAAAAGTGAATGACCCTTCAAAAGGATTTCGAAATACGGCACGAGAGCGATAACTGCACTGAAGAGGGAGGTTTCTAGAAGGGTAAGGCTTATTCACTGGAAAGGAAAACCGATGATCTAAATAGGAGCCCCCAAACTGGTCCTCAAAACGACTATTTTTCTTCAGTAATGGACCGAATGGGGTATCAAACTGAGCTGTTTCAATAGCTCATCCATCCGATCGCATTTTGTCAGACGAAGATAACGAATCCATTGTGCTAAAGCATTACCAATCCAATTAGCTCGCCATTTGGCAATTTATGCTGAATGTCTAGGTACTTCAGAGGCGTCAGACTTTTCAGTGGGTCTTCTATCATAAGATTAATAAAAAGAGTATTGGTCTATGCAGAGTGCAAACGTTTGTACAATCTATCACATATGTTACAGGTGGAAAGTTTAAAGACTGCGGACTTATAGGAGAGACTCAAGGGGTTGCTTTGACATTTGATGACAACCAGACTTACATT